TTCATAACCTCCAGCGTCGCGTTTATAAGAATCGTGTTTCTTATCATAATCGTAATGTTCATAACCTCCAGCGTCGCGTTTATAATAATCCACTGACTTGTCATGGCCATAGTCATAATAATCATCATCATGATCCTTTTCATGGTCATAATCATAATAATCAGTGCCGTAGCCGTAGTCATACGAAGCCACAGCCTCAGGAACAGGAGCTGCTTCGGCAACAGGTGCCGCATTTACTAAGAAAGGTGTTAAAGAAAAAAAGTGAATCAGAAAAAAGAATCTCCTATTTTCGTTTCCTTTCCTTTTTTTTTTTTATATTCAAGTATATATTATATTATAAAAGTTTACCTTCATTAAGGAAGAATGCACCTAAAACAACCGACAATAAAACAATTTTGTTAACAATCATTTTGAAAGTATTCGTTAAGGTAAATTTTTGATAAAATTTTATTTTATTTGAAACTTTTTTTATTTGGAAGAGGAAGTAGATTTATATAGAGGATGAGTTCTTCAGATCGAAGTGAAGATTTTTGGAAGAGAAAAAGCGATGGTTTATATAGTCGTTGGAATTCTTTCTTGAAGTTAGATTGAAATTTCAATTACGAAAGAAATACTTAAAGAATTATTTTTGCTAAAAACTGGATCATTAACTTGTAAAAATACTTTTAATAGAAATCTCATTAACGAACAGAAATTACTAAAACTTCCAACTTCTTAATGAACATCCTTTGAATGGTAATTTCATTTCAATCTTTCAATCGTGTAAAATAATGTCTCTATTAATAGCATCTATTCTTGGTATCAATCATTATGGCTAAGTTTAGATACTTGAAAAAAGATCTGAAAAAGAATAAGAAAAAAAACCTCTAATCCATTAATAATAAAAAAAAGCAAGATTTTGATGGGAAAATTTTATTTATTTGGATTTTTGATTAGTATGGGTAGAATATAAATTCATATGACAAACAAATCATTTTGTTTATTGTCGATCTTGATAAATCATTTTAATTAAATCAATGATGTGATGTTTATTTTTTCCCATATTTTACCAAAAATACCATAATGAAAAATCCTAATATTTTTTAGTACTTTTAAAAAAATAAAAACATTACCATTCCATTATAAAAAAGATATAAAATAATTTACAACTAACATGGTTAGTCAAAAACTATGATCACTACTCTAATTTAATTTATCATTAGAAATTTAAGTGATGTAGATTTTTGATAATAGTAAATGAATTTTTATACCGCAGTACCACTCGAAATTCGTTTACTTTTGTCATACTTGTTGACACTTATTTTAAATTTGTCCTTTGATTTGGACATTCGAATGGAGTCCTTCGATTTATATTTGTAACTTGTACCATAGGATAAACGTGTGTTTATTAATCAACGGAATTAAATAAAAAAGTTTACATATTACTTTTAAAACAAGATATATAATTTAAATAATTAATGCATATTAATTGGATCTGTTTCTTTTGCTGTTACTTTTCTCCTTTTATTTCCACAAAATTACATTAATCGTTCACGGTAGTCACATTATTAAATCTTAATACTTTGTGACGACTGTGTCACCCTGCGTACATCGATAAAACTTGTAAGACCAAATATTGGCCAAATATATATAATTCGGTAGCACTAGCTGCAAATTTCAAGTTATAAATGAACAAATAAAAAAAAAATAAAAAAATTTCTTTTTTACAAAAAAAATGTCAAACAATCCTAGTCAACTTCCCGCTGACTGTCTTAACGAAATTTTTGAATATCTAGAAGATGATAAAATTAGTTTACATTCATGCTTATTAGTTGATCGTCTTTGGTGTGGAGTTTCGGTCAGAATCTTGTGGAGGGACGTTTGGACTTTTAAATACACTGTTCCCATTCAGTACCGATTGGTAGTGCCATCACAAATTTTCAATACTTTGATCGCTTGCCTTCCTAATGAATCCAAAGAACTTTTATATAAGAACGGTATTTTCATCACAACTCAAGCTTGGAAATCATTGTTTAACTATGCATCATTTTGTAAAAATCTTTCGATTCGTGAAGTGGATTTAATGATACGTCATTCCGTTGAAAAGCAACAAAATTCAACTTCGCATAACGTAAACTTTTACAAGTACTTGATACTTCAAGAGATATTAAAGATGTATATGAGTCAAATTTCATCCTTAAAATCTTTGGATTATGATTTGGAAATTTCAAAAACGGTTCAAAACATACTTTTCACTTATTTCCCTGGGGCAAAGAATTGTTTATCCAACCTATCAGTATTTAGCTGTGATTCAAACATTTGTTCCGAGTTTTTTTTTCAGTTATCACAAATATGTCAAAATATTCAATCATTAACCATCACGTTTGAAAATGTCATTTCAAACGGTTTGTCGGATTTAATTTCTTTGCAAAAGAATTTAAGGCACGTCACATTGATAGCGGCTTATGGGGGTGAGAATGATTGGACGGAAATAATAACTTCCTTGGCCAGATTTCCTTTAACAAAACTTAAAATATTTGGGTATGATGCTTATATGCCGTTATCATTTCTAAGTACTTTCACATATTTACAAGAAATTATTTTATCATATGATGATACTGATATATTAGATTTTCATAAATTACAATATGTCGAATTTCCACATTTACAGATTTTAAAATTTCAATACGCGTTCCCAAAGGTTGAAATGTTGATTAAATTCTTGGAAATCAATGGAAAGTATTTAACAGAATTTTACGTTGGTTATCATAACAATTCATTAAATCTAGCGGTAGCTAAATCTTGTCCTAACCTTAAAAAGCTTTATTTAATATTCATGAAGAATGAATTGGAAACTTTAAAATTGGTTTTTAATAGTTGTCAACATTTGGAAAGTATAAAGATAGTTTGCGGTGCGAAATATTTAAGGGAGAAAGAGATGTTGGATGTGGTTTCAAAATACTCTCCAAAAAATTTTTATGAATTAAAGGTGGATAATTATACGCAATCAAAGTTACTCCCGGAAGAGTTTGAATCATTTTTTACAAGTTGGAATGACCGTAAACCACAAAAATCTCTTTCTCTCATCATCGTATTCGTATTTAATGACGATATTGGTTTATACGTAAATGATGAGAATATGAAAATAATTGAGAAATATAGAAAGTTAGGCGTTATTAGAAAACTTGGAACTGAAAGCTTTGAGGAAATATAGATTACATTTTTTGATTTTTATGATTTTTTTTTTTTTCCTACTTTATGTATAACCATTATTATTATTAACCTCTTACTATTTTTGTAATAGGGAGAAATCAATTACATCACTTTGAATAAAATTCTAGAATGAGGGTCGCGTATTTTAATTTGAAACGCGTAACCAATTTTTTTTTTGAAATCAACTCAATTGAAGAATTTTTACAATATATATTCGTGAATTTTCACATTTGTAAAATTTATTAATACTTATGACGATACCAAGAAATAAATTATGGTTCTGACGATTCATTTCTTTATTATAACGGGAAGTTGGTTGCTCAAGAAAAAAATTTTATTTTATAATTTTTTTTATTCAATTCAATTAATTTTTCAACAACAAACAAAAAAAAAATCATTTAAGCTAAATCTCTTTCTTATAAAATCGACTAGGAAATATGAATGCGTGTGAGCAAAATAAAGATTACAAGTTTTTGTCATAAAAAAAAATTTGTTGGATCGTCACAAATTTGACCGATTTTCTTTTTTAAAGATTATTCTCATCTAAACTTTAATCTTGATAAACTTCATTTTGATCATTCCACAAAATTGATTAAGGAAGCTTGTCACAACTAACTACATGTGAGGTCCCTAAACCCCAAGCACCAAGTTCAACGCGCATCAATTTTTTTTTTGAATCACTTTTATCCACATTGGTCGCCACCTTACAAAAAGAAAAAAATCTCCATGTTATATATCTTATGAGAAAGAGAAATTCTCACCCCTGAATTTGTGTGCAACTAATGTAACTAATGATGAGTTTCAGGTGCTTTATGTGGCGCACATTGCCAAAGATCGTCTGTTTGACATATTTGATAAAACAAATACTGATAGATTGGCCTAGACAATTATCAGAATATATATATATGTACATTATTTCGGAACCATTTTATTTATCTGTTAAAGTTAGATCTTTATGAAGGATTCTTATTGCGTAATAAAGTTTATGTAAATAAAGCTCCTGTAATTACAACTTTTTACGTGTTTAAAAAGATAGAACTTCTAGAAAGTATAAAGTTGCGAATATCAAAAATCATTACATACTAAGAATAAACGTCTTCGTACGAAGAAATTTTCCCACAATTGTCTAATGATGGTTGTTAAATGTTTATAAAAATCAAGTCGTACGAGAAGTTGAAACGGAAGGGATGATTGATAAAAATAGTTTTAATTTATGCAGCTTATAAAGATGCATGTTACGCAAATCACATGGACAAATAAAGTAAAAATTGCAATTCTCTAAATTTGATACAAAATAGTAGCACAAACTGCTGAATTAAAGTTTTGAACCATTTCATCCTTACATAAAATAATTTTTTTTTTTTTTCAAAATGTCTCAACTTTCCGCTGATTGCCTAAACGAAATTTTTGAATATTTGGAGGAAGACAGAGTTGCTTTGCATTCATGCTTATTAGTCAATCGCCTTTGGTGTGAAATTTCCGTCAGAATATTATGGAGGAACGTTTGGAATTTTAAATATACAGTTCCCATGAGATTTCGGATGGATGTGCCGGCACAAATTCTTAATACCTTGATCACTTGCCTTCCTAATGAATCAAAGGACCTTTTAAACAAGAATGGAATTATTATCGCAACGACAGCTTGGAAACCTTCATTGTTTAATTATGCTTCATATTGCAAATTCCTTTCAATTCGGGAAATTTATCTGATGATTCGTTACGCTCTTGAAACTCGACAATTAATTACTTCACATTGTCTAGACTTTGATGAATATTTATTATTACAAGAAATGTTAAAAATGTTTATGAGACAAATTTCATCCTTAAAATCTTTAGATTATTACGTAGGAATTTCAAGGATCATCAAATTACCTTTTACTTCTTTCCCAGGGGCAAAGGATTGTATGACCAATCTATCAATACTTAGTTGTGATTCCAACATTTGCTCCGAATTTTTTTATCAGTTATCACAAATATGTCATAACGTTCAAACGCTTACGATAATAATCGAAAATGTCGTTTCAAATGGGTTGACAGATTTAATTTCCATGCAAAGGAATTTAAAACACGTTACATTAATAGCAGCTTATGGTAGCGAGAAGGGTTGGGTGCGCTTAATAACTTCTCTATCCAAAATTCCCTTGAATTTAACAAAATTAGAGATATTTGGAATCGATGCAAAGATACCATTAATTTGCCTAAATACTTTCATTCATTTACGACAGTTGACCTTATCATTTGACGATACCAATGCGTTTATTGATTTTCACAATTTACAACATGTCAAATACCCACAATTACGTATTTTAAAAT